TCTGAATACTGATATGAACTTTTTTGTTTCAGCTGGGAACAGAGGACGGTTCGATTATCTTTCTTTCCGTTGATACCAATTTGATAATCGAATTTTACTTGACGCGGTCAGAGTGTATGTTTTTAAACGCGTTGAGCGGGTAACGTAGTTGATTTTTGTTTCTTTCTAGCCAGGATATTGAGCCTTGCTTGGAGCTTGGACGGCAACAAAATCGTCAGCGGCTGCGATGACTGTATTCGTATTTGGAACGCTGTCGATCGAAAGGCGATCACCCGCATTAGCGTTGACCGCCAACAGAAAACCGTTAGCACGTCCATTTGGGCTTTGAAAGTTATTCAGTAAGATGGTTATTATTATGCTTTGCTTTTGATTATTACTGTTATTTCGTTGATGACTCATTCGTCTTGTATAGCTTGTTTTGTTATTAGCGACTTTATTATCGTCAGTGGGGACAGTCGAGGATATACGAGTTTTTGGAACGGTGAAACCGGATGTCTCATTGACGTAAGCCTTTTTATTTAGAGTAACACTGCTTACGGGAGTTTGCTTTCTGTCACGGTCATAACCGAGGTGTTTCGTCGGATCGATGGTGTAGGTCAATTAGCTTTTAAATGATTAAGGACTGTAATTGGACTTAAGGACTCTTAGCGACTGGCTGCTTCGATTGCGAAGTTGAAAGGAGAGATCGATTCGTCTGAGAGACAATCGGTAGACAGTAGGAATTACTAATTTGGTTCCCCTGCACCTCAAACGTCTACTCAGTCGTCCAAGAACAAGTCATGACTATCTAATAGTCAGATTATCTGGCCAGCGGTGAAGGTGAAAAGAGAAAACAGAATTTTTAATTGTTGCTTTGTCATCGTCACTTGAGACTAACAGAGCTTAAACAGTTGAGTTACCGAGATCTAGGTTGTTTGGCCGTTAGATGTACCTCAGGGATTGATATTAGGCAACGTTAACTGTTGCGGCAAATATCACTATTCTTCGCAGATCTGTCTCATTGTGATGTTTCTACCTTTTGTATTGTCCTCCAACGAATCTATGGCTAGTGCAAAGTTCCAAAGCGAGAAAGGTACTGAAAATATTAACATTCTTTTTCTGGGCCATCAAGCCAGGCGCGAGTCTTTAAGTTCATTACCCTAGTTTTGTCAGATCGGCGGTCATCAGAGTATGTTCATTTGTGACCATGGCATTTTTAGAATACTGCGCAAACAGCCTTGTTGGAAGCTGCTTAGACTAGCGTAATGACCCTTCAGGATTGCAAAAGTTTCATGACTGTACACGAGCACTGTGAATACAATTGCTTTCATAGTGGTGATCTTCGTATACGTTGTCATAGATCGATCATTCTATATCTCATACAGCTTGCCAAAATTGCTTACCTGATGCCAGGATAGAAAACACTGAAAAAGTATCGCCTTGCTTTAATGGCACACAAGGACAAGTCGGATAACGGATTAATATGTAAAGTAATTGGATCGGATAGGTTAACATGCGATGGTGGAAATCCTTCATCTTTCTACTATTTTCTGAACCGAAGATGACAGTTCATGGGCGAGTAGCAAGAACAAGAAGAATGAAAGATTTCCGGGCAGTGCGAATGATATCAGAAATTTGACGTAATAATAATGCTTTAGGGTGATTTCGTTGTCACATAGGCACATTAAGAATGCTCGTCTCTGTACTACTCTGTCTATGCATTATGACATGACAAAGGATGAATACTGATGGCGGACGGTAGCATTTTCTTATTCGTTTTCCAATCTTTGAAATTTAGTTTGCAAATTCATTTATAAGCAGCAGTGATGACTTTAATCGTGGCATCTCAATCGATGAGTCGTACAGTAGCAGCATGTAAACCGATGGAGTGGAGTTATGCTGATTGAGATATCAGTATTTAGCCCTTCCCGCACATGATACAGACCGACAGCCAGTATGAATCTCAGACGATTCATATGCAGATTTAATGTTGAGTAGTGGATAGAAGGGGATCTTATAAAAGCTGCTGAATGTCTAACCGATAGTTCCTTAATATTTACTCGCTTAAAATTTTTTGTATGCATAGTTATGTTGCATAATAATATAATGTTAGCGTCGTCAGTGAATTGATTTATTGAGTTTATTTTCTTGAGCATCATTTGTTACAGTCAGAGCAAAGCGTAGAGATGTAATTCTGAACCATACTGAAGGCGGAAAATAACAAGCCTGAAAAATTGACATAAATGAATGCGTTTACAGTCGCAGTGTTCAGTTGATAGGCCATTCATAAGACGAAGAATAAGTTTGTCCGCCTGAGCAATGTAGTTGTTGTCAACACAGTGTATTCTTTGACGATGAGAATAAAACTGCTAGAAACGAAATTCCATTGCCTTCAGTGTTGCGAAATGAGGATCCTCCAACCATCCGATAGTTCTAGAAAGCAAGGATGAATCCCACTGCCGATAGAGTTTGGAATGGGTTGTGTTTGCTATTAGGTCTTTTGAACTCTTGGGAGAAATGGGAAGCATATTGAACAGCATAATTTAGTACAGGAGGAGAGTGTATGGCTGAAACTGTCAACAGCGATGACTCATCAGATACGCGCAACGAAAGTCTATACGTTTTATGTAAATACGTTTTGAATTTTTGAAATTAATCTAGATGTATTTATGTATTCAAAGATCAATTCATAGTTTTATACAGATTTGGACGTATGTGACGGACGAAGCTTCATTTAGACAGTTCATTACCGTGTACTGTCGTTCATAGGTCAATAAACAGGCTGATTTTGTTATTCGCCTTTGTTACTAGTGGTGTATATTAAACTGTTGTTCAGAATATTCTAATCCGTTTGTCGTACCTTATATCATAAACTTCACCACTCGCAGTAACGATCATGTAGCGATCATTAGCCTAATGGCAATGATACAAAAGATAAATCGAATTTCGCTACCGAATATTTTGCTAGGGTACTTGCAAACTTTAAATAAAAGTTCCTCCGTATTCCAGTTTCTTTGATTTTCAGCCGCTTATATTTTTTCTTTTCAGGCCTACAAGAGTCATAAAGCCGACGTTTTGGCTGTATGCTATGATTCTGTAAGTCGGTATTTTCTTTTCCAGTGTACCGTGGTTAATTTTTCAAGGAAAAAAGATGCGTCTATTCCTCAGGTGTCGATCCGATCATCTGCGAGTATGTACCGGTCATGAAAGGATCGGCAGCTAAACATCCTAGGTTCAATTTTCCCGATAATGCGTCGCTGCGGTACGCTGAAAGCATTCGTCGAAACCTGCATTCACACGACGTCAAAGACTTGACGATGGCCGGTAAATGGCTGCTGTCCGGGGGCGTTGACACCTTCCTGGCCATGAGTTGCTATCCACCGAAGACCGTTCTTCATTTTCCTCCTTTCAGAAAGGTTCTTGCTTAGAGACCTAGCCAAAAATTCAGTGCTTGATTTCAGGACGTTGCAAAGTGTTGTGACGACCGTCGCTGTATCTTATTCCAGTACATCGACAGTTTAGAAGTTTGGAAACTTGGATCTGCCGAAGAAATTCCGGCGGCCAAGCTTTGTACCAGATTTTCGACGGGTATTGTAGAATCTTAATAATAACGTTTAGGTAACGACGGTCAGAGATTGCGGCTATTGAAAACTCCTCAAAAGCTGCTTGTGATCAAAGCCAAAGCTGAACAAAGCATCCTCTGCAGTGCCTTTAGTCGTTGCGGCAACTTCATAGCCTACTCAGACAAGCGTTCCACGCGAGTATTTTGGTGCAAATACGTAAGTACCGATGATATCCTTAGAACGGCTAGGACTAAGTGCCTCCACAGACTACATTGTCGCTCCGCAGTCGGATTTTATTTTGCAGAATTATAGACGCTGTCACAGAATCAGGAACGTTGCGGACATTTTCTGACGCTACTGTCGCGTAGACGAGAAAAGATTAGCGGTTATCGAAACTGACTGACTCTTGACATCAGAAATTACACTTGTCTCTACGTCATTCAGTCAATTTATCAATAACATTTCTGCTGCCATGGTTTGAGACACAGTGATAGCCCAATCGAACTTTCGTGACTAAGAATTTTTTACTATCTTTAACGTTTTACCGTACTAGAACGGCCTTTTTCAAGTCAGCAGCCTAGTTCTCTACAAAAAGGATGCATGTAGTATAAATTATTGCCACGCAGGCTTAATAAGACTTTACTTCCTGTGTTCTCGATATATCGTTGCCACGTGCCATCATTTTTTTACCACGCATTTGACCTTATTTCTCTCACAGTCAACATATCAGTAATATTTCCATAATCGAATTCGTCGGTTGTTCTCTCAGGCAGGAGAATGAAACCAGTGCTGTAGATGTTCATTGTCTATGGCTGTCGTGAGTTCATGTATCTAGGCTTTAGGTATCCTGAACATGTTCCCAAAATAAATGAAATGCATCTATTACTTTGACATTTTTAGACAGCATGTATTGGCGACATTCAGTAGGATCGCGCGAGAAATAGACATTAGTATCCTGCTTGTTCAGCAAGGTAATGGCGATAGTTATGGTGAAGATGATATGAGCAATTGAAAGGTTCCATGGATTCTTCTAACTACAGGGAAACTTCCTAGAAGCTAATCACAGGTGTCATTCCTTTGTTTAGTTATTTTGCTTTTTCTGGG